ACTCATACCTGGAGGAATCTCCAGTCAGAATGCTATCTCTCTTCGTAGGTTCCCAGGACATCTCCTGACAGACTTTGTGCGTTAAACACACACGCACACACACACACACACACACACACACACACACACAGACCCACACGCAGAGTAACTCACCCTGACGCCCATGAAGCGGTCTCTCAGTACGATCCAGGAGAGAAGGAATACGAAGGCCTTGTTGCAGCAGAACAGAGCTGACACGTCTGTAGTGTTGATCTTCCTCAGGGCCTGCGTTAGAGACAAGATCACATGCCACAGCTTAAAATGACCCACTTCGCCCAATTGCTAGATTTTCGGTGGCATAGTCGGCTAAGATGTTGTCACGTGTGTTTTTGAAGCAGAGGGTCAATAGTTTGAGTCCAGTAAGGGGACAGGGACGGTGAAGGAAGCTATACTGCTAAGCACAGCGACGCCTGTTACAGCTGCAGTCACTATACAATACTGTCACAGTCCCTAACCTGACACACACACACACATCCCAGGTTGAGGGGAAAGCAGCACAGTACCTGTAGGTACAGATAGTTGGTGAGGATCCACAGCAAGCCGAACGGAGCCACCTTACTGAAGAACACCTTGGCTGTCAGCCCGTCGTCCCCGAAGAACCGACAACACTCCCTATAGAGGAACACACACAGATGATCACACACAGGCATGCATGCACGCACACACATGCACACACACACACACACACAAAAAGGTGCACGCACAGGTACACGTACATTTAAACACACACAAACACAGAATCACATGTTAGTGTTAGTATACATAGTATATGATAGTGATGGGGGAAACCGATACAGTTACTTATCACAATATTATTTTGGACGATATTATATTGATACTTTGACTCCAAGTATCGATATGTAAAAAAAATACATATATACTGCATATATACAGTATATATATCTATAATTATACTGTACAGTGCATTCAGAAATTTTGTTACAGCCTCATCAAAAATTGCCTCATCAATCTACACACAATACCCCATAACGACAAAGCAAAAACAGGTTTTTAGACATTTTTGCAAATGTATTACAAATAAAAAACGTAAATATCACATTTACATAAGTATTCAGACCCTTTACTCAGTACTTTGTTGAAGCACCTTTGGCAGCGATTACAGCCTCGAGTCTTCTTGGGTGTGACGCTACTAGCTTGGCAGAAATCCCGCTATGCCCTCCGACGAACCATCAAACAGGCAAAGAGTCAATATAGGACTAAGATTGAATCGTACTACATTGGCTCTGACGCTCGTCGGATGTGGCAGGGCTTGAAAACTATTACAGACTACAAAGGGAAGCACAGCCGCGAGCTGCCCAGTGACACAAGCCTACCAGACGAGCTAAACCACTTCTATGCTCGCTTCGAGGCAAGCAACACTGAAGCATGCATGAGAGCACCAGCTGTTCCGGATGACTATGTGATCACGCTCTCCATGGCGATGTGAGTAAGACTTTTAAGCAGGTCAACATTCACAAGGCCGCAGGGCCAGACGGATTACCAGGACGTGTACTCCGAGCATGTGCTGACCAACTGGCAAGTGTCTTCACTGACATTTTCAACATGTCCCTGACTGAGTCTGTAATACCAACATGTTTCAAGCAGACCACCATAGTCCCCGTGCCCAAGGACTCTAAGATAACCTGCCTAAATGACTACCGACCCGTAGCACTGACGTCTGTAGCCATGAAGTGCTTTGAAAGGCTGGTCATGGCTCACTTCAACAGCATTATCCCAGAAACCCTAGACCCACTCCAATTTGCATACCGCCCCAACAGATCCACAGATGATGCAATCTCTATTGCACTCCACACTGCCCTTTCCCACCTGGACAAGAGGAACACCTACGTGAGAATGCTATTCATTGACTACAGCTCAGCATTCAACACCATAGTGCCCTCTAAGCTCATCACTAAGCTAAGGATCCTGGGACTAAACACCTCCCTCTGCAACTGGATCCTGGACTTCCTGACGGGCCGCCCCCAGGTGGTAAGGGTAGGTAACAACACATCTGCCACACTGATCCTCAACACGGGGGCCCCTCAGGGGTGCGTGCTCAGTCCCCTCCTGTACTCTCTGTTCACCCATGACTGCATGGCCAGGCACGACTCCAACACCATCATTAAGTTTGCCGACGACACAACAGTGGTAGGCCTGATCACCGACAACGATGAGACAGCCTATAGGGAGGAGGTCAGAGACCTGGCCGTGTGGTGCCAGGACAACAACCTCTCCCTCAACGTGACCAAGACAAAGGAGATGATTGTGGACTACAGGAAAAAAAAGAGGACTGAGCACGCCCCCATTCTCATCGACAGGGCTGTAGTGGAACAGGTTGAGAGCTTCAAGTTCCTTGGTGTCCACATCACCAACGAACTAGCATGGTCCAAACACACCAAGACAGTCGTGAAGAGGGCACGACAAAGCCTATTCCCCCTCAGGAGACTGAAAAGATTTGGCATGGGTCCTCAGATCCTCAAAAAATTATACAGCTGCACCATCGAGAGCATCCTGACTGGTTGCATCACCGCCTGGTATGGCAACTGCTTGGCCTCCGACCGCAAGGCACTACAGAGGGTAGTGCGTACGGCCCAGTACATCACTGGGGCCAAGCTTCCTGCCATCCAGGACCTCTATACCAGGCGGTGTCAGAGGAAGGCCCTCAAAATTGTCAAAGACTCCAGCCACCCTAGTCATAGACTGTTCTCTCTGCTACCGCACGGCAAGCGGTACCGGAGTGCCAAGTCTAGGTCCAAAAGACTTCTCAACAGCTTCTACCCCCAAGCCATAAGACTCCTGAACAGCTAATCATGGCTACCCGGACTATTTGCACTGCCCCCCCACCCCATCCTTTTTACGCTGCTGCTACTCTGTTAATTATTTATGCATAGTCACTTTAACTCTACCCACATGTACATATTACTTCAACTACCTCAACTAGCCGGTGCCCCCGCACATTGACTCTGCACCGGTACCCCCCTGTATATATAGCCTCCCTACTGTTATTTTATTTTACTTCTGCTCTTCTGCTCTTTAAAATAAATGCACTGTTGGTTAAGGGCTGTAAGTAAGCATTTCACTGTAATGTCTGCACCTGTTGTATTCGGCGCATGTGACCAATAAAATTTGATTTGATTTGAGATCTGTATTTGAGAAGTTTCTCCCATTCTTCTCTGCAGATCCTCTCAAGCTCTGTCATGTTGGATGGGGAGCGTCGCTGCACAGCTATTTTCAGGTCTCTCCAGAGATGTTCGATTGGGTTCAAGTCCGGGCTCTGGCTGGGCCACTCAAGGACATTCAGAGACTTGTCCCGAAGCCACTCCTGTGTTGTCTTAGCTGTGTGCTTAGGGTCATTGTCCTGTTGGAAGGTGAACCTTCGCCCCAGTCTGAGGCCCTGAGCGCTCTGGAGCAGGTTTTCATCAAAGATCTCTAAAACCTAAGCCCTGGACTTCAGCCTGGAACTAAACTCAAGCACCAGATTAAGGCCGGGATTCCATCTGTTTTCATGTTGTCAACAATGCAGCTTTTAAAGACAATTTCCGATTGAGCCATCATATGCAGCGTTTACCGGGAATGGGATCTCCGTAAATATGGAACATTGCCTTCAAAAGCCACATTGTCGACAACCTGCAATCATATTGAATCCCGATGACTGCGATTGGCGTCTGCCATATTGTCATGTATCTGTTATGTAATGTGGACTGGTGCCAGCTCTTCCACCCACTGTGTGGACTAACACATGCTAGGGCAGGGCTGCTTTAGGCCAGGAGAGGAGAGTCTGGGATGGGAGAGGAGAGGAGAGGAGAGAGCATCTGGCAGCTTCACTGAAGTATCTCCTCATCTCCCACAAAGCAGTGCATTCCACATTTCAGCCTCGCTAAAACTGCTCTCCAGCCCCTGCATTTTCCAGGAGATCAGAACTCTGTTCATATTTCATTTGTTTTATGAAAGGACAGAGGGACGGGAGAGCAGGATGTGTCCCTAATGGTACCCTATTCCCTACAGTGCATTACCCTTAACCAGGGCCTAGTGCTCTAGTTTTGACCGGAGCCCTATGATCCCTGGTCAAAATATGTGCACTGTAAAGGGAATAGGGTACCATTTGGGACGTAGCCACTAGGTAGAGGGGGACAGATAGAGAGTGGCCCAGGTCGATATGTAGTCCAGAATCAGGGGAGCTACCATTAGACCAGATTATGGTATAACACAAGCCCTGCTTTCTCAATACATTAGACCAGACTATGGTATAACACAAGCCCTGCTTTCTCAATACATTAGACCAGACTATGGTATAACACAAGCCCTGCTTTCTCAATACATTAGACCAGACTATGGTATAACACGCGCCCTGCTTCCTCAGTGTTAGAAAGCTAACATCATAAAGGCTGTTCAGTATGCAGGCCACGCAGTCAGAGCCAGGGGAGCAGGGAGAGCCCAGAACCAGATCCTTGCATAAGCACTTTTAGAAGCTCCGACACACACGCACACACACGCACACACAGACACACACGTACGAGCATGAGCGCACGACTGGAAGCACTCACAGGCATGCAGGCACGTATGCACACACACGCACTCGCACGCACACACATGCACATACACACACACACCTCAATGTGTGTGCAGCAGCAGCCCAGTGGGTTATAGAGATAAGGGATTTCTCTCAGAGGAAGAGCACGTCATGTGACTAAGCTGATCTAACTGTAGGCGCTGGCTTTTATTCAACTAGACTGCTGCTGTTCAACACATTACACTTCCCACTTAACTTTGGAAAGTAATGACTTTTTACCTAGACTTTTAGACAACCAGAGGTAATATTAAACCCACAGCCATCATGAAACACCAGAGCCACTATTATGATGCATAAACTTGGTACAATGCTTATATATCACAACAAGGCTATATTTGGCAATTCCATGATACTCCGCTACGCCTCTCAATGCAGTCTGAAATAGTTTTTTTCACTCCTTCTTTGTCCCCTGGTGTCCGTTGATGAACCTTTAGGACAACAGTTGATGTAAACAGTATAAATCCATTGTATTTGATTGATGGATTACCTGAACCTCTGTCTGGGGGTCTGTCTCTCGGGGCTCTTCCACAGGTGTCCGATGTAGTAGAGGGGGAAGAAGAGGCAGTTCCAGGTGGTGGCGAACCAGGTGAGGGTGAAGGGAGCGTCGAACTGGGTATCCACAACAAAACAAAGGACTTTAACATTCTTATTAACATGTTTCATCTGCCACTTGCTAGCACTCCGTTGTGGATCGTGTGAATCTGAGTTTGAGTGTGTGTATGTGTTACGTTTAGCATGTAGCTTCCGTCAGGTTCTTTACCTGCTTAAAGGTGAGCTTGGCCAGCTGGGTGGACCCGGCCCATGACGAGCACACGCACATCACCATGGCAACGCCCCACAGCACCTTCTGCACCTGTACGGCCGTGATTTTGATGCAGCAGCGAAGTCTCCGCCTCCCCGTAGCAGGCTCCGCCCCCGGTGCCCCGCCGTTCGCCGCCTGGCCGTCCGCTGTGCTGCCCACCACATTCTCCCTGGGACGGTCTTCTCCTGAGCACAAATAAAATAAATTTTTTATTAATTAAGAATATCATTACTGCCAAAAGAAAACCTTGTAACACCTTGTTACCTCCTAACTACATATTTGTTCTATTTGTTTTTACATTCATTTAAATCAGTAGCTCCCCTCAATGTACTCTAGGTCTATGTTTTTACATGAATTTAAATCAGGAACTCCCCTCAACGTACTCTAGGTTTACGTTTTTACATGAATTTAAATCAGTAACTCCCCTCAGAAGAGTTGAATACAGCACTACAGTATGAGACCAGGGTAGTAATTTTCTGTGGGACTAGAAATATAATTAAAGATGTCATTAGATGGCATTAGAGACCCATTACTGCTAAATCCTACAGATTCTATGGGGCTATTTCTGCCATTATAATACATTGAGACAACCGTAAACTTTATTGCATTCTTCAATTCAATAAGCTATTACGACTCCTCTATGTCTATTATCCACACTGGATCATCCATCATTTGAAGTAGCCTGTCACTTTCAATACGTTTAGGTCATTCACACAATGTCAACGCATTCTACATACAATAACCTATTAGAGCTTACAGTATCTATGCAAACACTAAATGTTTCATCCTCCACTGAATATTCAGTAATTTAAAGTAATTTCTGTCTCTTTCAGGTCGTTTCCAGTTTTTAACTGAACTTGGACGAAATCTATTAGACAAAATCTGGTGTTCGAGTGTGGCAGTGTGTGTGGCAGTGTGTGTGGCAGTGTGTGTGGCAGTGTGTGTGGCAGTGTGTGTGGCAGTGTGTGTGGCAGTGTGTGTGGGCAGTGTGTGTGGCAGTGTGTGTGTGCAGTGTGTGTGGTGGCAGTGTGTGGTGGCAGTGTGTGTTGGCAGTGTGTGTGGGAGTGTGTGTGGCAGTGTGTGTGGCAGTGTGTGTGGCAGTGTGTGTGGCAGTGTGTGTGGCAGTGTGTGTGGCAGTGTGTGTGTGGCAGTGTGTGTGGCAGTGTGTGTGGCAGTGTGTGTGGCAGTGTGTGTGGCAGTGTGTGTGGCAGTGTGTGTGGCAGTGTGTGTGGCAGTGTGTGTGTGGCAGTGTGTGTGGCAGTGTGTGTGTGGCAGTGTGTGTGTGGGCAGTGTGTGTGGCAGTGTGTGTGTGGTGGTGCAGTGTGTGTGTGGGCAGTGTGTGTGGCAGTGTGTGTGTGGCAGTGTGTGTGGCAGTGTGTGGTGGCAGTGTGTGTGTGGCAGTGTGTGTGGCAGTGTGTGTGTGGCAGTGTGTGTGGCAGTGTGTGTGTGGCAGTGTGTGTGTGGCAGTGTGTGTGGCAGTGTGTGTGTGGCAGTGTGTGTGTGGCAGTGTGTGTGGCAGTGTGTGTGGCAGTGTGTGTGGCAGTGTGTGTGGCAGTGTGTGTGGCAGTGTGTGTGTGGCAGTGTGTGTGGCAGTGTGTGTGGCAGTGTGTGTGGCAGTGTGTGTGTGGCAGTGTGTGTGGCAGTGTGTGTGGCAGTGTGTGTGGCAGTGTGTGTGGCAGTGTGTGTGGCAGTCAGTCTGCAGCCAAACAGAGGACAGGAGAGGGCAGGGGCTGATACCCAATCTGAGACGACTTCTACTCAGGAGTCTCTGCAACTTGACTTACAATGACACACACACACACACACACACACACACACACACACACACACACACACACACACACACACACACACACACACACACACACACCTCCTTCATGTCTCTTCCATCATTCTGCCTGTCTGGAACATGTCCGGACTGACTTTGTCTGACTGTGACTTTGAAGAAGTGATTCATGTTTTAGAGAAAACTTGTGTGCACACAAAACGTACTGTAGGTGCTTGAAAACACACAGATATTATTGGAGAGGGAAAGAGCCAGTAAATGTCTTTATACAAACATACTGTCTCTCTTTCTAGAGCCATATAAACATACAGTACCAGTCAAAGGTTTGGACACTCCTACTCATTCAAGGGTTTTTCCTTATTTTTTACTATTTTCTACATTGTAGAATAATAGTGAATACATCAAAACTATGAAATAACACATATGGAATCATGTAGTAAATAAAAAAGTGTTAAACAAATCAAAGCATATTTTATATTTGAGAATCTTCAAATAGCCACCCTTTGCCTTGATGACAGCTTTGCACACCCTTGGCATTCTCTCAACCAGCTTCACCTGGAATGCTTTTCCAACAGTCTTGAAGGAGTTTCCACGTATGCTGAGCACTTGTTGGCTGCTTTTCCTTCACTCTGTGGTCCGACTCATCCCAAACCATCTCAATTGGGTTGAGGTCGGGGGATTGCGGTCCTCTGTAGCTCAGCTGGTAGAGCACGGCGCTTGTAACGGCAAGGTAGTGGGTTCGATCCCCGGGATCGAACCCATACACAAAAAAAAAAAAAAAAAAAATGTATGCACGCATGACTGTAAGTCGCTTTGGATAAAAGCGTCTGCTAAATGGCATATTATTATTATTATTATTGTGGAGGCCAGGTCATCTGATGCAGAACTCCATCACTCTCCTTCTTGGTAAAATAGCCCTTACACAGTCTGGAGGTCTGTTGGGTCATTGTCCTGTTTAAAAACAAATGATAGTCCCACTAAGCCCAAACCAGATGGGATGGCGTATCGCTGCAGAATGCTGTGGTAGCCATGCTGGTTAAGTGTGCCTTGAATTCTAAATAAATCACAGACAGTGTCACCAGCAAAGCACCCCCACACCATAACACATCCTCCTCCATGCTTTACGGTGGGAAATACACATGCAGAGATCATCCGTTCACCCACACCGCATCTCACGAAGCCACGGCGATTGGAACCAAAAATCTCAAATTTGGACTCCAGACCAAAGGACAAATTTCCACCGGTCTAATGTCCATTGCTCATGTTTCTTGGCCCAAGCAGGTCTCTTCTTCTTATTGGTGTCATTTTTTAGTGGGTTCTTTGCAGCAATTCGACCATGAAGGCCTGATTCACACAGTCTCCTCTGAACGGCTGATGTTGAGATGTGTCTGTTACTTGAACTCTGTGAAGCATTTATTTGCGTTGCAATTTCTGAGGCTGGTAACTCTACTGAACTTATCATCTGCAGCATAGTTAACTCTGGGTCTTCCATTCCTGTCGCGGTCCTCATGAAAGCCAGTTTCATCAAAGCGCTTGATGGTTTTTGCAACTCCACTTGAATAAACTTTCAAATTTCTTGACATTTTCCATATTGACTGACGTTCATGTCTTAAAGTAATAATGGACTGTCGTTTCTCTTTGCTAATTTGAGCTGTTCTTGCCATAATAGGGACTTGGTATTTTACCAAATAGGGCTATATTCTGTATACCCCTCCTACCTTGTCACAACACAACTGATTGGCTAAAAAGCATTAAGAAGGAAAGAAATTCCACAAATTAACTTTTAAGAAGGCACACCTGTTAATTGAAATGCATTCCAGGTGACTACCTCATGAAGCTGGTTGAGAGAATGCCAAGAGTGTGCAAAGCTGTCATCAAGGCAAAGGGTGGATTTTTGAAGAATCTCAAATCTCAAATATATTTTGATTTGTTTAACACTTCTTTGGTTACTACATGATTCCATATGTGTTATTTCATAGTTTTGATGTCTTCACTTATATTCTACAATGTAGAAAATAGTAAAAATAAAGAAAAACCCTTGAATGAGTAGGAGTGTCCAAACCTTTGACTGGTACTGTACATTCTTCCATACATGAAAACAGATCCAGACCAACACTCACATAAACAACCTCAATAAATAACATAGCTATAGCATCACTAACAGGGCTACAGCATCACCAACAGGGCTACAGCATCACCAACAGGGCAACAGCATCACCAACAGGGCAACAGCATCACCAACAGGGCAACAGCATCACCAACAGGGCAACAGCATCACCAACAGGGCTATAGCATCACCAACAGGGCAACAACATCACCAACAGGGCAACAACATCACCAACAGGCCAACAGCATCACCAACAGGGCTATAGCATCACCAACAAGACAACAGCATCACCAACAGGGCAATAGCATCACCAACAGGGCAACAGCATCACCAACAAGGCTATAGCATCACCAACAGGGCAACAGCATCACCAACAGGGCAACATCATCACCAACAGGGCAACAGCATCACCAACAGGGCAACAGCATCACCAACAGGGCTATAGCATCACCAACAGGGCAACAACATCACCAACAGGGCAACAGCATCACCAACAGGGCAACAGCATCACCAACAGGGCAACAGCATCACCAACAGGGCAACAGCATCACCAACAGGGCAACAGCATCACCAACAGGGCAACAGCATCACCAACAGGGCTATAGCATCACCAACAGGGCAACAGCATCACCAACAGGGCAACAGCATCACCAACAGGGCAACAGCATCACCAACAGGGCTAGATACAGTCTGTGGGTAACACACATCCAAAGTGAAAGATGTCCTCCACTTTAGACCTACTAATGTGCAGAGCCAAACACCCCCCAAACACACAGACACACAGACACACACAGACACACAGACACACAGACACACACAGCAAGCACCCAGAATAATAACATAATAACAACGAACCCAAAGATAATAGAACAAGACAAGATCCCTTATGGTTCACCAAGTTACACTGTTTCATAACCAAAGCTATCGTCTATCTGCACGGAGCACCTGCCTTCTCTGGCTTTCTGTGTGGCCTTTTCTCCATCACATTAACATGAGGGATTTCCCTAATGGTGTTTTCACTTTTAAAGATAACGACGTGGTGTGTGTGTGTGTGTGCGTGTGTCAGGGTGTGTGTGTGTGTGTGTGTGTGTGTGTGTGTGTATCTGTGTGTGTGTGCCACAGGGAAGCTAAGGCCTACTCCTCTCCAGCCGTTAACTACAGAATATACTCCTCATGCAGAGTCTTGGAAACAAAAGAACATTATATAACTTCTGTCAAGGCAGCTTGAAACCAGGATTTACCTTCTCACTAATGACATACACATTAGCTATTGACTAATGTCAAAACACCAACATTAGAAAGATACTGCAGTGCCAACATTAGATACTCTAGTCATGGACTAAAATGTAAATGTAAATGTACTGTAAATGTCTGTAACTCAATATTGAATCTGTATTCATGTGTGAAATAGCCAATTATTAAGAATGTCAGCTTGTTTCAATAGGCCTACACCAGTGGCGGCCGGTGCTGTTTAAGATTAGGGAGGACCATTTTTTTAATGAGCATGGCCTCATTTCTATTACAGCATATTGGATGACTGTGATTCATATTTCATTCACCCAGTTCAATGTAACATTGATAGGTTTAGGCTACTACATGATACTCACGTTTTCCCTATACACATCATGAGGTTGCTACAACCTAGCCTACTAATGAAAGTTTACAACACACAGTAGGTGTACAGGTTGAGAGACAAATTGGAGTAATCAAGGTGACAGACATTGACACATTCAATTCCGCCTTGCACACTCTTGCCTGCAAGGTGTAATCATTAGTCCAAACAGTTGCATATAAGAGTTTCTATTGGACAAATTCAGGTAGGTTGATCCCTGTTTCGTCCCGTCAGCGGAATGAATTCCAGTAGGCAAATTATATTCATATGTCTGAGACATTTTCATTTAAGAAGTGACTCTTTCCTTACTGTTCCACTCAGCATCTGAGTGTGTGTGAGAGAGAGAGAGAGAGAGACAGAGAGAGAGAGAGACAGAGAGAGAGAGAGAGAGGGAGAGGGAGAGAGTCTCTCTCTAAACAGCTTCATTTAGGAAGGGACTCTTTTCTTATTTGTAGTTCTGCAGCCTTTGACCTTGCTGCTTCATTACAACACAGATTACAGTCTCTGATTGCTATCGACCCCAATGCCTGCAGAAGGCCAGCAACCCATTCTGTGTTTAGAGCTGCTACAGTCTTCTATTGAGACTTTGTGATGATGCACTTTAAATACAATTGGCTTTAACTCATGCAGTAGGCAAGTCCTTGTTATATTAGTGAGGAGAGGCAGCCTATGCAAATTGCATTGTTTCATGAGCAATAAACGTGTTATCATGCTCTGATTCTAAATTCATCATCACTGCCTGACTGAAACGATACGGTTTAGATTACATGCTGAAGTAGATGAATGATTGAGGAATTGAAACTGATTCAATATTTGTTTGCCATTCCAACCATAAACATAAACGATTTTTGTGTGAGAGCTTTTGACTTGACAGAGACACTACACTAGATTTGGCATTGGGATGAAAGAACGTCTGGGCTGTCGGGATGAATCAGCTAAGGGAATGGGAACACACACAGACACACACACAGACACACACAGATGTTTATCGAATTGTTCCACACACAACACCGACGATGATGAGAGTCGTGTTTCTCCGTCTCTATTCTGAGCTGTGAGCGTCTCTTTGTCTTCATGCTGAAGGTCATCTCCACTCTGCTCAGTTTGTCCTTCCTGGGCCTCCGTCCCTCTCACATCCTGTGGCCCTGGCCACTGACTCCTTACTGCAGACTATGTGTGTGTGTGTGTGTGTGTGTGTGTGTGTGTGTGTGTGTGTGTGTGTGTGTGTGTGTGCATGTGTGTGTGAGCAGAACCCTGGCCATCAGTCCATACCGCAGCACTGTTTAATCTTCCAAACGCAGCCACGGGCCAAGCCGGCCAATCAACACCCTGGGAGAATCAGAGAGACAGAGACAGGGCTAAGCACTGTATTCACTGTCAGCCTGGCTGTATTTAATAGACTTTGTGGACAGTTAGTTACAGTGCTGTAGTGCTATGGTGACATTATGAACTATTGTGAGACTTTCAGTTTCAGGACGGTATTTATTTGGACCCAGTTACTGTGTCATGGTGATATTACTGTCACACCCTGGCTCTGGGGACTCTATATCAAATCAAATCAAATCAAATCAAATCAAATTTTATTGGTCACATGCGCCGAATACAACAGGTGCAGACATTGCAGTGAAATGCTTACTTACAGCCCTTAACCAACAGTGCATTTATTTTAAACAAAAAAAGTAAGAATAAAACAACAACAACAAAAAAGTGTTGAGAAAAAAAGAGCAGAAGTAAAATAAAGTGACAGTAGGGAGGCTATATATACAGTAAAATAAAGTGACAGTAGGGAGGCTATATATACAGGGGGGTATATAGCCTCCCTATATGTTGAGCCAGGGTGTGTAAGTTCTATGTGTTTTGTTCTATGGTGTATTCTATGGGTGCTATTTCTATGTTGGCCAGAGTGGCTCCCAATCAGAGGCAACGAGTGTCAGCTGTGGCTGGTTGTCTCTGATTGGGAGCCATATTTAAACTGTCTGTTTTCCCTTTGTGTTTGTGGGATCTTGTTCCGTTTTGGTTTGTTGCCGTGTCGGTTGTGTTATACCGAGGACGTCACGTTTTCGTTTTGTTGTTTTGTTCGTGCATTCATTAAATAAATAAATATGTTTGCAACTAACGCTGCGCATTGGTCTACTCCGTATAACGATCGTGACAGCGAAGCAACATTACATTTACATTTACATCATTTAGCAGACGCTCTTATCCAGAGCGACTTACAAATTGGTGCACTCAACTTATGATAGCCAGTGGGACAACCACTTTTTGTATTTTTATTTTTTTTATGGGGGGTGGGGGAAGAAGGATTACTTTATACTATTCCAGGTATTCCTTAAAGAGGTAGGGTTTCAAGTGTCTCCGGAAGGTAGTCAGTGACTCTGCTGTCCTGGCATCGTGGGGGAGCTTGTTCCACCATTGGGGTGCCAGAGCAGCGAATAACATGGAGTGCTATACAGTGCCTTGCAAAGGTATTCATCCCCCTTGGTGTTTTTCCTATTTTGTTGCCTTACAACCTGTAATTTCAATGGATTTTTATTTGGATTTCATGTAATGGACATACACATAATAGTCCAAATTGGTGAAGTGAAATGAAAAAAATTACTTGTTTCAAAAAATAAAAAAAATAAAAATAACGGAAAAGTGGCGCGTGCATATTTATTCACCCCCTTTGCTATGAAGCCCCTAAATAAGATCTGGTGCAACCAATTACCTTCAGAAGTCACATCATTAGTTAAATAAAGTCCAGCTGTGTGCAATCTAAGTGTCACACGATCTCAGTATATATACACCTGTTCTGAAAGGCCACAGAGTCTGCAACACCACTAAGCAAGGGGCACCACCAAGCAAGCGGCACCATGAAGACCAAGGAGCTCTCCAAACAGGTCAGTGACAAAGTTGTGGAGAAGTACAGATCAGGGTTGGGTTTTAAAAAATATCTGAAACTTTGAACATCCCATGGAGCACCATTAAATCCATTATAAAAAATGGAAAGAATATGGCACCACAACATACCTGCCAAGAGAGGGCCGCCCACCAAAACTCACAGACCAGGCAAGGAGGGCATTAATCAGAGAGGCAACAAAGAGACCAAAGATAACCCTGAAGGAGCTGCAAAGCTCCACAGTGGAGATTGGCGTATCTGTCCATAGGACCACTTTAAGCCGTACACTCCACAGAGCTGGGCTTTACGGAAGAGTGGCCAGAAAAAAAGCCAATAAGCAAACACGTTTGGTGTTCGCCAAAAGGCATGTGGGAGAAGGTACTCTGGTCAGATGAGACTGAAATTGAGCTTTTTGGCCATCAAGGAAAACGCTATGTCTGGCGCAAACCCAACACCTCTCATCACCCCGAGAACACCATCCCATGGTGGTGGCAGCATCATGCTGTGGGGATGTTTTTCATTGGCAGGGACTTGGAAACTGGTCAGAATTGAAGGAATGATGGATGGCGCTAAATACAGGGAAATTCTTGAGGGAAACCTGTTTCAGTCTTCCAGAGATTTGAGACTGGGATGGAGGTTCACCTTCCAGCAGGATGATGACCCTAAGAATACTGCTAAAGCAACACTCTTGTGGTTTAAGGGGAAACATTTAAATGTCTTGGAATGGCCTAGTCAAAGCCCAGACCTCAATCCAATTGAGAATCTGTGGTATGACTTAAAGATTGCTGTACACCAGCGGAACCCATCCAACTTGAAGGAGCTGGAGCAGTTTTGCCTTGAAGAATGGGCAAAAATCCCAGTGGCTAGATGTGCCAAGCATATAGAGACATACCCCAAGAGACATGCAGCTGTAATTGTTTTTTTGTCTTATTTCTTGTTTGTTTCACAATAAAAAAATATGTTGCATCTTCAAAGTGGTATGCATGTTGTGTAAATCAAATGATACAACCCCCCCCAAAATCTATTTTAATTACAGGTTGTAAGGCAACAAAATAGAAAAAATGCCAAGGGGGGTGAATACTTTCGCAAGCCACTGTAACTACAGTAGTGGTCACAAACTGGTCGATCGTGATCGACTGGACGATCTCCAACGCATTCCTAGTCGATCACCAAACACTTCTGTAAAAAACCCAATGATAAAGCCTTGCGTTCCAATTTATTTTCATCCATTTCGACCTGTTGGTGGTAGGTGCATTTGATTCAGCAGCCCTAGCACCGGGAAGGCAGTGTTCCCATTTTGAACCATTTCATGTGTCTGAAGGTAGAACTCTGCCTACCCGGCAGGCCCAGAGAGCAAATCAAGTGCACCTATAGGAAAGCACAGTTTCCTCGAGCCACAGACTATAAAAAGAAGCCTTGAACGCACAGCAAAACTTTTAAAACCATGACTAGAGAGAGACTGTCAACGAATACAGCAAAGAGCTGCTGTTTTTATGAGTAAGTTCATGTTTAAGTTATTCAGCACTGTCAACACTTTGTTCAACACCTTTATAAGCCATAAAATGTGCATTCTCCCTACTTCCACTCACACTACAACCAGAACTGTAGTTGTAATGAATGAGTATAGCAAAGTGTTCCGATAAGCTTGCGTTGTTATTATTAGCGTCTTGGGTCTTTTTTTAATATCAATGAATATTTCACATTATCTGGGGATAGGAGTAACAACATGAATTGGTGCACGAGGCAGAAATAATGCAGTGTGACTTGAGTTTCGCCATCAACTGTATCCCCTTTTCTCAGTGGAGGGAGGGAGAGTGGAGGGACGGTGCGTTGGGTGAGAGGCAGCCTCACCGCTGCTACCTCCCTCCCCTCAGACTGACCATCAGATGCAGGGCATCAATCCAGAAACAATAAAAAGTAATTATTATGCTCACTTAGCTTGCCTCACAAGTAATACAACAAATGATATATTACCAATGTGATCATATACCTACATTTTTCAAATATAATTAAAAAATGGTCTGAGAAGAACAACATTGGCAGGGCAATTCAAGCATAGTGATATAATGTATTGGGCATATAGCCTACTGCACAAACCTCATTGCTACAGTACTGTAAGCATAGGCTTACGTTTTTTAAGTCATGTATTATTATTTTTTTATCTATGCAGTAGATCTCGGCCTGCATTTTGTCTCACAAAGTGATCTTGACTCAGAAGAGGTTGGTGACCACTAAACTACAGGGTGTATGTGTGTGTGTGTGTGTGTGTGTGTGTGTGTGTGTGTGTGTGTGTGAATGGGGAAGGTAGAGTAGCTGTGTGAGATGAAGATTGTCCTCCACTAAATGACTGGGCCTTTTAAAGCCACCTTGACTAAAGCTGTAGAGCAGGCTACACACTAATCACTGAATGATACAGCATGGGACACTTAGCTACATCACTGGCTACTTCAATTATCAAGGTCAGTGGAGGGATTCTGAAGAAATACTACTATAGTCAATGGCCAATCTCCTATTTGTTCACCAATCACTCATGTTAAATACAGTACTGATTAGAACACATGATGAGCCAAGTCCTGAGGGAAGGTTTTTTCAATCTCTTCCCCATCTCTCTCTGTCCTCCCTCCCTCCTTCTCTCACTGTCCTCCTCCCCCCTTCTCTCACTGTCCTCCTCCCTCCTTCTCTCTCTGTCCTCCTCCCTCCTTCTCTCACTGTCCTCCTCCCCCCTTCTCTCACTGTCCTCCTCCCTCCTTCTCTCACTGTCCTCCCTCCCTCCTTCTCTAACTGTCCTCCACCCTCCTTCTCTCACTGTCCTCCCTCCATCTCTCTCTGTCCTCCTCGCTCCTTCATCTCTCTCTGTCATCCTCGCTCCCTCATCTCTCTCTGTCCTCCTCGCTCCCTCCATCTCTCTCTGTCCTCCTCGCTCCCTCCATCTCTCTCTGTCCTCCTCACTCCCTCCATCTCTCTCTGTCCTCCTTCCTCCTTCTCTCACTGTCCTCCACCCTCCTTCTCTCTCTGTCCTCCACCCTCCTTCTCTCTCTGTCCTCCACCCCCCTTCTCTCTCTGTCCTCACTCCCTCCATTTCTCTCTGTCCTCGCTCCCTCCATCTCTCTCTGTACTCCTCAATACCTCCATCTCTCTCTGTCCTCCTCGCTCCCTCCATCTCTCTCTGTCCTCCTCGATACCTCCCTGGGTTTCCTTATTCTTAGTCTCTTCCCCAGTTCCCTGCTCGGTGTGGTTCTCTCTCTCTGTCCTCTCCCTCCCTCTATTTTATCCCCAGCAGTAAGGCTCTGCTCTGCAGTGCAGATCTCTCCTGCTGATAGCTGCAAATCCCAAACCTGCCAGCAGAACCCTGTCCTCCCTCCCTCCCTCCCTGCCAGCAGAACCCTGTCCTCCCTCCCTCCCTGCCTGCAGAACCCTATCCTCCCTCCCTCTCTCCCAGCCGCACACAAGCCTAAGATCACCATGCGCAATGCCAAGCGTCGGCTGGAGTGGTGTAATGCTTGCCGACATTGGACTATGGAGCAGCGGAAACACGTTCTCTGGAGTGATGAATCACGCTTCACCATCTGGCAGTCCAACGGACAAATCTGGGTTTTGCGGATGCCAGGAGAACGCTACCTGCCGAATGCATAGTGCCAACTGTAAAGTTTGGTGGAGGAGGAATAATGGCCTGGGGCTGTTTTTCATGGTTCGGGCTAGGCCCCTTAGTTACATTGAAGGGAAATCATAACTCTACAGCATACAATTACATTCTACACGATTCTGTTTGGGGAAGGCACTTTCCTGTTTCAGCATGACAATGCCCCTGTGCAGAAAGCAAGGTCCATACAGAAATGATTTGTCGAGATCGGTGTGGAAGAACTTAACTGGCCTGCACAGAGCCCAGACCTTAACCCCATCGAACAGCTTTGGGATGAATTGGAACGCCGACTGCGAGCCAGGCCTAATCGCCCAACATCAGTGCCCGACCTCACTAATGCTCTTGTGGCTGAATGGAAGAAAGTCCTCGCAGCAATGTTCCAACATCTAGTGGAAAGCCTTCCCAGAAGAGTGGAGGCTGTTATAGCAGCAAAGGGGGGACCAACTCCATATTAATACCCATGATTTTGGAATGAGATATTCAACGAGCAGGTGTCCACATACTTCTGGTCATGTAGTGTATCATCATTGGATCAGATCGGACAGAGACTGCAGTGGGACCTGCTCTACTCACCTCCAAGTCTGTCAGGGTGTGTGGGTCTGTGATGGAGGGTGAAGTCTGTCAGGGTGTGGGGGTCTGTGATGGAGGGTGAAGTCTGTCAGGGTGTGGGGGTCTGTGATGGAGGGTGAAGTCTGTCAGGGTGTGGGTGTCTGTGTTGGAGGGTGAAGTGGGAGGCAGGCTGCTCTGCTCAGTTCTGCCTCAGTGATCCAGGGAGTAAAAAGATCAATCCCGACCAACACTGGCTGCCATAAACACAGTCTAGAAAAACGATTCACGTATCTAACCCTTCTTCCCTGCCTGGCCAATACAGTCTTGACCACAGAGACACCTCGTATCTAAACCTTCCTCCCTCCCTGGCCAATACAGTCTTGACCACAGAGAAACCTTGTCTCTAACCCTTCCTCCCTGCCTGGCCAACACAGTCTTGACCACAGAGACACCTCGTATCTAAACCTTCCTCCCTGCCTGGCCAATACAGTCTTGACCACAGAGAAACCTCGTCTCTAACCCTTCCTCCCTGCCTGGCCAATACAGTCTTGACCACAGAGAAACCTTGTCTCTAACCCTTCCTCCCTGGCCAACACAGTCTTGACCACAGAGAAACCTCGTCCCTAACCCTTCCTCCCTGCCTGGCCAACACTGTCTTGACCACAGAGAAACCTTGTCTCCAACCCTTCCTCCCTGCCTGGCCAACACAGTCTTGACCACAGAGAAACCTTGTCTCCAACCCTTCCTCCCTGCCTGGCCAATACAGTCTTGACCACAGAGAAACCTTGTCTCCAACCCTTCCTCCCTGCCTGGCCAACACAGTCTTGACCACAGAGAAACCTTGTCTCCAACCCTTCCTCCCTCCCTGGCCAATACAGTCTTGACCACAGAGAAACCTTGTCTCTAACCCTTCCTCCATGCCTGGCCAACACAGTCTTGACCACAGAGAAACCTCGTCTCTAACCCTTCCTCCCTGGCCAACACAGTCTTCACCACGTGTCTAGCGCTGCCCTTGCCTGACTAGCTTCTGATGTTGTGTTGAATATTCATTGGCTGCACTGGTATACCAATCTGTCAATCACCAGTCTGTAGCAGGCACATTGAGCTTTTATCCAGAAATCTATGACAATAAAGAAAGTCAGAGTCAGGTATAGCCTGGTCCCAGATCTGTTGGCAAGAAAGCATAAACAGATCTTAGACCAGGCTACAGTGTATTTGTACTTATTATGGATCCCCATTAGTTCCTGCCAAGGCAGCAGCTACTCTTCCTGGGGTTTATTATGGATCCCCATTAGTTCCTACCAAGGCAGCAGCTACTCTTCCTGGGGTTTATTATGGATCCCCATTAGTTCCTGCCAAGGCAGCAGCTACTCTTCCTGGGGTTTATTATGGATCCCCATTAGTTCCTACCAAGGCAGCAGCTACTCTTCCTGGGGTTTATTATGGATCCCCATTAGTTCCTGCCAAGGCAGCAGCTACTCTTCCTGGGGTTTATTATGGATCCCCATTAGTTCCTACCAAGGCAGCAGCTACTCTTCCTGGGGTTTATTATGGATCCCCATTAGTTCCTACCAAGGCAGCAGCTACTCTTCCTGAGGTTTATTATGGATCCCCATTAGTTCCTGCCAAGGCAGCAGCTACTCTTCCTGGGGTTTATTATGGATCCCCATTAGTTCCTACCAAGGCAGCAGCTACTCTTCCTGGGGTTTATTATGGATCCCCATTAGTTCCTGCCAAGGCAGCAGCTACTCTTCCTGGGGTTTATTATGGATCCCCATTAGTTCCTGCCAAGGCAGCAGCTACTCTTCCTGGGGTTTATTATGGATCCCCATTAGTTCCTGCCAAGGCAGCAGCTACTCTTCCTGGGGTTTATTATGGATCCCCATTAGTTCCTGCCAAGGCAGCAGCTACTCTTCCTGGGGTTTATTATGGATCCCCATTAGTTCCTGCCAAGGCAGCAGCTACTCTTCCTGGGGTTTATTATGGATCCCCATTAGTTCCTGCCAAGGCAGAAGCTACTCTTCCTGGGGTTTATTATGGATCCCCATTAGTTCCTGCCAAGGCAGCAGCTACTCTTCCTGGGGTTTATTATGGATCCCCATTAGTTCCTGCCAAGGCAGCAGCTACTCTTCCTGGGGTTTATTATGGATCCCCATTAGTTCCTGCCAAGGCAGCAGCTACTCTTCCTGGGGTTTATTATGGATCCCCATTAGTTCCTGCCAAGGCAGCAGCTACTCTTCCTGGGGTTTATTATGGATCCCCATTAGTTCCTGCCAAGGCAGCAGCTACTCTTCCTGGGGTTTATTATGGATCCCCATTAGTTCCTGCCAAGGCAGCAGCTACTCTTCCTGGGGTTTATTATGGATCCCCATTAGTTCCTGCCAAGGCAGCAGCTACTCTTCCTGGGGTTTATTATGGATCCCCATTAGTTCCTGCCAAGGCAGCAGCTACTCTTCCTGGGGTTTATTATGGATCCCCATTAGTTCCTGCCAAGGCAGCAGCTACTCTTCCTGAGGTCCAGCAATATTAAGGCAGTTATTCATTTTTAAAAACATTACACAACATGTCACAACAGATTTCCCAGGATCTGTGACCAGGACAGGTAGATTGTTTACTATCCCACTGCCTGCCAGGCAGACCGTAACAGTCAGAGTAAGTGACAGCATCCAGCAGCCTGGGTTTGATCCTGAGGCTGGGCCTGGGTCGAGCCATCACTCAAAAGCCTATCAGAGTGCAGCAACAGACTATGCCCCACCCTACCCTACGCTGTCAGACAAAATAAAACCAGAGAGAGAAATACAACAACCCCCAGGCTGGACTCAGCTGTCAGTGGACCAGAGGGAGACAGAGAACAGACAGAGAAGATGTCTGTTATTGAACAGCCTCCCTCTCCCTCCCTCCCTCCTACCGTGTAGTTTACCAATAAAATGGTGTGATGGTGATGTGGATATACTCGGAATACATATCCCAAAATAAATAAATGATCTCACTCCAATACATTTTCATAGAAAGTTAGCAAAAATAGATAAGATATTGCTACCATGGAAAGGTAAATACCTTTCTATTTGTGGAAAAATCATCCTGATTAACTCTTTAGTATTATCCCAGTTTACCTATTTGCTTATGGTCTTGCCTACGCAAAGCGAACAGTTTTTTAATTTATATGAGAAAAAAATATTCACTTTTTTTGGGAACGGCAAGCCAGACAAACTTAAACGGGCCTATTTATATAATGAATATGAATTCGGAGGACAGAAAGGATTAAATATTAAAGCATTAGACCTATCACTAAAAGCTTCAGTCATACAAAAGTTATACTTAAATCCAAACTGGTTCTCTAGCAAATTAGTAAGATTGTCTCACCCAATGTTCAAGAATGGCCTTTTCCCTTTATTCAGATAACAACCTCTCACTTTCAGTTACTTGAAAAGGAAATAATCTCCCAAATATCACTATTTCTAAAACAAGCCATAGAAAGTTGGTTGCAATTTCAATTTAATCCTCCAGAAATGACAGAACAAATAATGCAACAAATATTGTGGTTAAACTCAAATATACTAATTGATAAAAAAACATTATTTTTTGAAAAAATATTAGAAAAATGTATAATCTTCGTAAATGATATCATAGGTAGAACTGGTAGAGTTATGTTGCACATGCAGCTAACAAAAACATATGGAAATGTCTGCTCTACCCAAAATTACAACCAAATAATTGCAGCATTACCGCAAAAATGGAAGAGGAAAGTGGAAGGGGGAAAAAGTAAGGAACTTGTTTGTCTGCCCTGCATTAAAGACTATAATTGGTTAAAGAAAATTGTGATAAATAAAAAAGTATACCAGTTTCATTTAAGGACCTAAGGACTGACAGCTGTCCCATATAGATTGCAA